GCTCATTTTAAATCTAAGGGTCCATTCATAGTGATAGAGTATCTTGTCGAAATTGCAACTTCGCAGCTCTTGTAAGTTTGGAAATCAAGTGCGCGGCCAAATATACGTACACACATACAAATACGTACATACAAACAGGAACAAACAAACCCTTTATACTATCAGTTTTTGCACTGCATAAATTCAAAAAACGCAGTAAAACAATAGATGATATTATTGCTACAACGCATCATCACAGTTCACGAAACGATTTTTAAAAGAATTGCTATAACTTACTTTTGCTTCTGCAATTTACGTTTTCTTAAAAAAATTAAAAAGTAGGACAGAAAAAGTTGATTTTGATGTTTCTTCGAGGTATATTCCGTCAACAGGCTCATGTAAAAATACCATCAAAGGAGCCCTGTTCCACTCCTTTCCTCAGCCCCGCATGTTTTTTTCTCTGAGCCATCGACATAGACGAATCCGAGACGGGCTCCTGAGCGGGAAGGGCAAGGGAGGAGTTGGGCGGAAAGCGGTCTCCTGGGGGAGGGGAGGGCGATGGGGTCCCTTCCTATTCTGGTACCCTCTCCCACCCAGGAACTATGCAAAAGGAGAGTCCTTCCCACCCTGCAACTACGCAAAATTAGAAACAGAATTGTAACATTGCTACTTAGACTTACTTTAAGCTTTAGTTGACTTTCGTTTTTGCTTTAGACCCGGGCTTTTGCAGCACTGGTGCCTCTATCGCCAGGGAGGAAGAAAGGCGGGAGGATGGGAGGAAGAGGCGAAAGGCCCTTTCCCCTAGATTCGCCTATGGCCGCCGAAGCAACCGCCTCCTCTTCCGGACCACCAAAACAGCGCCATCCGTCCCCGAATCAGCATGCATCCTTCGCCAAACCATCATTGCTCTCAGCAAACACCCAAATTCTTCTCTTCTTTCCCAAGCCGCTAATGTCCATCTATTTCTTCTCTCTCCGTCGCCGCTTCCCTCATCCTGTGCCCTTGCGATCGCTAATAAAGTCCCTCCCCCTGCCACTATGTCCGAGTTACCGTATACACAGCTGGAACGAGCTGCCGTTTTTTTTCGCAAGTTGTCAAAGGGCTCAACGTACCTTAGGCGTACCGACGTGAAGCCGTAGGCGGATCCAGGGCGATCTCCTGGGAAGGGCGATTTTTTACCTCTCCTCCTTTCTTCACTACACCCCCTCGGCCAGCTCCCACCTCACCTTTCAATCGTCGCGTTATCCCCTCCCCCGGTCATCCAATGCGCCACCTTTCGAAGGTCTTGCTGCACTCCCCGCTCTTCACTACGTTTAACAGCCCGCTTTTTCCCCCCTTTTCTCCTGCCGCCTCCCCCCTCCTCGCCAACAGGCACTAAACTGAGACTGGCAAGCCTCCTGAAGGAGAGGGGGCGGGGACGACAGAGGGCACCGATCAGACTTTTGTACAGTAAACAACTGCTACCCAAGCCCCTGGATGGGAGGGGCCTTCCCCCCTCTCCTCTTCCCCTCCCCTAGATTTGCCAATAAGTGGAACTGAGCTTTAGAGGTGATAGTGATGAGTATGCAATGTACTGCTGGTGATTCACGGGTGTGGGTCAGCGCTTCACAGTTCCTTGCTGCTTCCTTCTAGCAGCGGGGCGCGGGCGCCGTGCTCTCGCTGCTGCAATTCGTCGAGCTTTCACCGGCCTCGCTCAGTAAGGACAATCTGCTTGTGTCATCTGAGGATTTGAAGGCAACCGCGTCAATAGAGAAGTCGGAAGATACGAAACGCGGGATCGGATGGTTTGTTGCAGCGCTATTCATTCTGGCTGACCTGGTCGGTGGCGGTGTGGTGGCAATGCCGGCTGCTTTCGTGCAAACAGGTATGTTTCGAGAAACCTCTTTTTCGATTTTTTTCCTCCCCGCTCCTCAACCCATACTCCAATGGGCGATTTTGCCGTAGATTTTAATGCGAAGATAAGAAGTCATTCACACGCAGCCTCAGCAGTGCAGACCCGGCACCTTACGTAAAATGCCGACAGCAACGGCGCCTCTCTGGCGCGGAGGGATAGCAGCACAGTCTGCGGGGTACCGAACTTCTCTTTTTTTTCACTCACTCCGGATTCGTCCGCTCGCATTCTAGCCATTTGCATCGAACCGCGTTGTTCATTTGCGGAAGATTGGATAAGAAACTGCACAAAGTGCGAGCAGCAGTTTTATTGGAAGAGCAGGCTACTCGGAATGGTGGAGAGATTTTCGGAACCACTGAGATTACAATTCATCTGCTTTTTTTCTTTCAGGGCTTGTCTGCGGCATACTGTTTATGACAACAATTTGCGGGGTATTTTCGGTGACCGGATATCTGCTCGCTGATACATGGGAAATTATGCGTGACCGATGGCCCGAGTACCGCATGCATTGCCGCAAGCCATTCCCAGAAATGGGACTTCGAAGTATGGGAAAAAAAATGGAGTTCGTATCCCGTTTTGACATTCACTTCTGCAGCCCTCCTTATTTGTACCTTCTTGCAAATGCATGTGTGCAAGCTTTATCCGTCTTTTCTGAACTAAAATAGATCTTGAGTGTTTCATCAAATCGCTCCTACACTCAGAAGAAAATTCGTATAGTTGGCTGCTGTTGGAACATATCGCTGACGAGTGTTTTTGCATTCCCAAGAAAATAAGTTGTGAAAACGGTTGATAAACGATTGCTGGGAAAAAAATCTGACTTTAGGAGCATAAGCAAGAGTCTCGTTTTTGGGGCTAAAAACTCATTGATTTTAAGCCTGAGTTCTAGCAATCTCCTGGGCCTTAAGCGCAAACCATAAGAAAAGCTTCCAGGAGTGTTGGCTTTCGAGTTTTATTTAGCTGTTTTACTTCGAAATTTGATTTTTTCAGGATCGCAACTCAGTTGCTCGTTTTTTCGTCATTGTTCGGTTCCACAGTTGTGTTCCTACTTCTCTCGTCCAAAATTTTTCAAAATTTTCTCGCCAATTTCCATGTGAACATTCACTTCTGCATACTCCTTATCATTGTTGCTGGATCTGTATTACCATCCACATTTCTCAAATCTCCTGCTGATTACTGGTACGTCCTGCTTCAGCGTTTTCAAATAAACGAACTCGGGAATCTAGTGGTATGGATGGTTCAAAAGCTGTTAAACTCCAATAGCACTTCAATGGACACACTTTCGCATAAGTTACTTTTTAAGTGTTTGGCCTTCGAGGGAGCGGAGGCAAGGAGCAGATGCTTTACCCATGAAAGCAAGCTATTCAGCTTCTGGAGGGGGACTCAAAACCAAGCCTTCCGCTCCTTCTGCACAAGATAACCTTGCCAAATGTTCACGAATTATTGCATATCTAGCAATTTCAAAAAAAAAGCTTGTTTGCTTTTTGGTGTAATTTAAAATTTTCTGATTAAATTCACTCTCTTTCGTGCTGAATTTTTTCGTCTCTCCAGATCACTATCTTCCTTGCACGGAAAGGCTAAGTGTTATGCTCTTCGGCAAGATTTTGGCCCGTTGAGCCTGAATTTCTCGTTTTCTCCTTCCACATGAACAGTTCTTATGCTGTTTTTAAATGGAACGGGTCCAGTAATTTACACATAGAGGGGGAGC